GCTCGGAATCTCCTCGTGACCTAGGTCGGCCGCGATCGCCGCCTCTCTCGGCTCCTTCGCGGGGAAGTTGAAAAGTTGTTTCAGACGCCAATTCCGGGGAAGATGAAGACGAACAAAGAACCGCCGGCGGAGGAGGCAGAGCGTCTTCCTACTCGGATTTTCATCCAGTCTGGAGTATAATCCGGACTTTCCAGCTCCTCCGCCGTAGGAACTGGAAACATTTACAGCCAGCCGGCACGAAACTCGTTGCCCCTCTGCCGCGCGCGACTATCAATCCAACTTCCACCCCTGCCATCGTCCGCCGCGAATTTATCAATCTCGATGTCGACGCGCGCGCGTCCATTCTTCAGCCGCCGAAATGAACGACTTCGTCTCCCCGACGCGATCGCGTGCAATTTGTCAAATCACGCTTGTTTGCTCTAAGCACTTTCCCGAACTTGCGGAAACGGATAAGTTCAGCAAGGAGCGGAGCCCCGGCTCGTCGCCGTCGCCGTCGGCGCGTTCTTCGGTCGCGGCACTAATTAAAGGTCGCGTATTGTCACGAGGCGAGCTTTGTTCGCATTTCAATTACGGCCCGGTCGATTTCGCTGAATGAAGCGCCACGAGCCAATCCGAAAGCCACCCTTAGCCGACATTGTTCTTATCCCTCTTGTTCATCAGGAATTCGAACCGTTTTAAGACGCGGCCTTTGATATAGTACCGGCATGAAAATTGAATACTGTGCGGAAAGCGCGGAGATGCTCGTTTAAATCAAGACGAACGTCCTCGGAAAAACCGATTATCGTGTTTCATCCGATTCTTCGTGCGCACTCCTTCGAAATATAATCGAGAAATACATCGAAGGACCTTACAATCAAGGACTGTTAAAAGACCTTCCTCCGAACACGCTATTGAATTTTCCAATTCTTTTCAGACAAATGTCTCTGCTAAATAAATAGAAATTTGTGCCTCGTGCATCGGATAGGAAAATGTAATGGCATTTTCGTCGCTTTAATGTTACAATTATCGCGAAAGAAAGCGGCTCGTCGCCCCGCCAATTCTTTGACAGGGTGAATTATGACGATCATTAGGTGGATTGATTTCACCGTCTAGAAGTTTAAATTTAGCGACGTTGAATTTCGCGAATTGAACCGCGGGCCCATTCGCGTTCGTCGTGTCGTCAATCTTCGTTCCGAGCTCCTCCAACCCCCGTTCCTACCGCTCGAATATGTCGCAGGGTTGTCGGATATATAAAAAAAGAAGGAAAGAAAGAAATCTCTCGGGCGAATAGCAGAGGTGCGTGGCTCCGATAGGTTGATCGAATCGAATTTCTTATTTATTCCGGAGAGAACTTTCGCGCGAAATCGCGATGTTTGTATTGACGACAAAATTTGCCACCGCTATTTCCATAAAGTATCTCTCAATGATCGGATTCTTATTGAATAGCGCTTCGACGGAACAACGGAAAATTCGCGTATACGGAGGAAATCGTCGGTACTCATTGTCAGTTATGATAAAACATTCGCGGTTGATCACGGAACACGATCGACAACGAATCGCGAATCGTACCGTCGCACACACTTTACATGCCGAGTGTCATAAACATGGATTAATCTACGATAGATTAGGGCTGAGGACGTTAACCTGCCGCTATTTCCAACTTTGAAGGAAGAGAAGGGAAGACGGGGCTTGAATTTTACATCTATTTTTGTCTCTTGCCGCCGGTATACTTTTTCTTTTCACGCAATTCACGAAATGTAATATAAGGCAGACATCAGCGAAGATTTTCCTGAACAATGATCATTAATATAAGGCCGCGCAATGAACGAAGTGCCCGTTAAAAAAAGGCGACCTCGCCGCCGGGAACGAGCGAAATTAATAAAACGCCACTGTTTGCGAATGTAATTTGCGGGATAGAATCAACGTCTGTTTAAGTCCTGATGAAATTACCGACCGGTTAGAGACAGATGGAGCTTCAAAGGGACGAGGATAATATTCATTCATAAATTCTGTCTGCCCGAGGCAAGCGAGAGCAAGGCGGAAGGGAAGACGCCGCAAGACAGACGGGGATCAGATTGGAGCGGTGAGGAAAGCGGGTCAATACTAATTAATCTAATTAACGAGGCCAATTTAAGCCGCGAGTCGACTTTAATGACTTTTTCACCTTACTCTCGTGAGTATAACACTCTGGCCAAGTCTGTGGGATTAATTCAGGAGTGCGTTGTACAAAAAATTATTCAGATTTTACATCAGAGAGAACGTATGCAAAACCGAAGACAGAAAGCTTTCGCTCTCATTTGAATAAAGACAATTCGAATCATCATAATGAAGTAGAAAACGTTAATAAGACAACACTGGCTGTGTCAAGTATCGCAAAAAATTTTGTCGCCAGAAACCAACCTCGTATGTATTCGATAACACAATGTGCAGAACGAGGGGGAATCCGCTGATCTAAAATCTTGTACACCAATACCCACTAATGCCCAGCGAGCATTACTTTATCTTATTACCTTATTTTATCTTTATAATGCCCCAGCAAGGTTTAAACTAATGCCCAAAAAATGCCTAGTGATGCCCAGAATAATTCTTATTCTCCTCTATCGAATTAAAAAAGATTGACTTACTGTGTTGAGACAAGAGTAACTTATATAAATGTAAGCTTATACATATATTCTTGCGTTTAGAATAAATTTTCCGAGGAGGAAACCGCTGACCAAAATCTTGTACACTAATGCCCAGTGAGCATTACTTTATCTTATTATCTTATTTTACCTTATTTGTCTTGTTTTGTCTTATTGTATCTTTATAATGCCCCAACAAGGCCTAATGTCCAAACTAATGCCCAAAAAATGCCTAGTAATGCCCAGTAATGCCGCAAATCTACTGTACACCACAATGCCCTCAGCGATTTCCCCCCACGGTGCAGAACTTGTACTCGTAGAAATTTCTCTTATATATCAATACTTTTTTATATATCGCGAATTTAGTCGATGATCGAATTTCAATTCTTTTTGCGACGTAGCGATATATATGATCGACAATTTTCGGCGAAACTACGGCGAAACAGCGAAACCTGTTTCGTGTTCTGCGTAAAGTCTGCTAACGCACGCAGTCCATATCCCTCGCGGTTTCCACTAATTTCGTAACTAATTACGTCTCCTTCGAACTCGACGGGACCAGTGCGGCGCGCACTGCCGGCACGGGAACTATTTCGATCCCTTTGAAAGCTACGTTTCGGTTTTGTTCGCACGAATGGAATGAGAAACCGCATCGCGTAACATTTTGGCGAATAACCGGACGCAATAAAAACACGGCGGGCTGCTATACAGCATGTTTTGGAAAGTTTGCTCAGCATTTCACGACGATTATCCTTTGACAAATCCGAAATTAATTTTCTGTTTGCTGAAATATACAGGAAACTTCATAAATGGGAGATTAATCGGAAATCTAATTAATTGCATTGCAATTGATAAGAAACCGTAAATAGAAATTAATTGATTAAAATGCTTGCTTTCTGCCAAACGTGAATTTTTAACGTTTATCCTATTTCAGATGCGACGGTGTCGCAAAAAAGCACCTAAGTTTCCCCGGGAATTACGACACGTGGTGTTTAATTGCGCCGGGTGTTTCGTCGATTCCTGATTAAAATTCCGCGAGTCCCCGGTAAAAAGGGCTCGAGGAAAAGAAGCGAATGGATGGTACGGCGGTAAAAGCTGCACGTGTAACGGTACAATACCGGCCGCAATTCCGTCTGAAGCGGCGTTAGTTTTTCAGCGGCGCGGGACACCCGGGCCGCCGTTTATTCGCCATCGATCGATTGTTAAATCGTGCGTGACGATGAATGCCGGTCCAAAGGGGGGAGGGGGGTAAACCGACGAGACACGGGGTGAAGCACGTCAGAGAAGATTGTCCAAGGGATTTTTCAGGATTGCGTTGTGGACGCGCGCGAGCACGAGCGTGGGATCGATGTGTGTGCATATGCGTGCGCATAAGCGCGCGTGTGTGCATGCACGGAGTGGTCTCTGTTGGGATGGCGCATTATTTCCGGAGCAGCGGACGACGTGTCTCGAGCGGTGATATTAATTGACTATAAATTCAATGCTCTCATCCTCTCCCCCCCACGGCGTTAATTCGGCTATCTCGAGAGCGGCTTCCGCCGTCCGCGGCTACTCGCGGCGAAAGCAACGAGTCCGCCGCTAACGAAGCGCCTTAAGCGCGCGCTACTTAACGCGGCCGGAGCAACGAAAACAGGACGACGAACGGTTTCCGGGATACTTGGCAAGGGTAATTGATCGTTAAACGCATTTGCATCACGGCGCGGTCGTTGTTTCGCCGCCAGTTGGATAACGATTATGCGACAGTATAATCGTCGCGTCTCGCAACATGAGAAACGCCGCCTCGGGCGCTTTTCAAATGAATATGTAATTCATCTGAAATGTATATACGTGTAATACACCCAGCAGCGATGCGCAATAACTCTCTTTTTCCTTCTTAATAGCCATCGGAAATTGCGTGCTAAAAATTAGCACACGATACTGTTTCTCCTACCGGATTGCTTACGAGTACCAATCAGGATTTAGCCTCAAGTCACCTGACCTAAAACTCTGCACCCGTATTGGTTCTCGTAAGCAAACCAGTAGGAAAAATAGTATCGCGTGCCGTTGGCTTTAGACAAAGTTATTAGGCGCCCTCTTAATCATTGTACCGTACTGAATCTAACATCAAGAAGATTTCTATTGTTTGAAAGTTGTTTACTAGAGCGCCCATTGCTTCTACGCAGGAAACAACTTTTTAAAAGTCTTTCTGGCTAGATTCAGTACAGTATACGCTATAAATCTAAGTATGTCACTTATACGTGTGCGTGTAAAAAAATAAATAACACGCTTATTGTTAGATTTGCAGTCTGATTGATGAGGATGCCTGGTAATATTGTCTAAGGCTGTATATCGAATTTGTATAGCTATATCGTAAGTAACTTGAACGACTTGTTGTAATAAAGGCCCAATTGTGTCTTGTTGCAGGTCGAACGCACGACTCAACTTACACTCTGTATAGATTAGGCGAGAGACTGTCTACGGGCGCCAGGTTATACGTGGAAACCGGAAGAGCCGACGGATTGGACGCGGACGGGGACTCGCCCAACAGCCTTCACTCGTTCACGGGTCCCCCGATTCCTCAAGGCGAAGGCACGAGCGTGACTCGGGCCTTTTTGGACGGCAATCATACTCTAATTAGCATTATGGCGCGCATCAATCCCAGCCCCGATTGGTTCGTAGGCGTGGATTCCTTCCAGTTGTGCGTCGAGGGCAATTGGGTCGATACCGTTACCGTAGAGGTAATTACGTTCGGCAATAATGCGCATGAAACTCAATGTGTCAACGCGACCGAAATTCCTCTCGTGAAAGAGAAAATGGAAATAGATGCGGAAAATGTCCGGCGCAACGTAGCCGTACTTTTTTTTTTAACACACCGTTGATAATCGTCGCGCAGATTTATCTTGGTGAATTTATTGTACGTGACTCGAAGTCTTCAAAGTGTACAATAATTGCAAGAGATTACTTTTGCGTTGTACACCCACACTCGCTTATTCAATTAGTCGGTTATGATTATTTAAATAAAGTACCTTTCAGACAATCATTACGGTCATACGATGCTACGAAATGCGAGATAGAAAATGTAAATCGCGCTCGAATCCGCCCCGGAAAGTCAGATGTCTGGGCATCGCTGGTCGCGAAATATAATTTATGCGTCTATCTCCGCGAATATCGCTGCGCGCCGCTGTCATCCCGCTAAAATCCGCGAACGCTCGGAAAATGCGTCCGTTTAAACCACCTTCCGCCATTCCTTTTTCAACAGCTCGACCCGCTGGATGGGGGCACGGATAACGGCTTCACATTCACGGCTGCCAACTGGCCGACGCAGCCCCAAGGAATCGCTTACAGGATCACATCCCGATATCCGGCACATCCCGCGGGAAGCTTCTATTATCCGAATCTACCTCGTCTACCGCCGATAGCTACCCTCACATTCACCAAGGTACATATCTCATATCCCCGTACACGCGCGATCCTTTATTTTCTCCGCATTAATTTATCGTGCGAAATAATAAATTGATTAACTCGGCGGAAATGGAATTTTTATATAAATCAGCCTTTGCGCAATTAATTATCTTGAAACGGCGGAGAAATCGGGATTTTTTTCTACTCGCGTGTAGAACAATGAAAAGTTAATAAGATAAATGGATCTCGTATGAATTACTTTAAAACGCTTTTGTTTTTCGAGGAATTAGGAACAAATTACACGACTGGCTTTTAGTGGCTCGATATTATCTCGTCTTCTTTTATGCATTTAATGCCTCGATTTCACGAGAGCTCTTTTGTCGTCTGATAAAATAGCCGCACAGCGGCAGCCCGTTGAAAGAACATTGAGCTTCGATAATAGCCATTAATTTATTTCCCCGGTATTGATACGCTGCGCAATAAATGCCCTGACAATATCAGTTTCAGCATAAAACTGATTAATTGCATTCGCTGTTTAAACAATCTAATAATTCTTCTTGTACGAGACGGCCCGATAATATGGTCTCGATAATGCGAGGCCGGACATTGCTTTATTGTGCCAATTTTCATATATCGAGCACGAGGCGTACAATATTGAAATTATATATTTCCGCTGATCTTCGTGAACGGGACAAGTAGTCCAAACACATTTTAAATATTTATCCGGAATAATTATATATCGCTGTCGTTTCTCTCGATATTTCGCGACGGGTGAATTTGTTTCCTAATACGATCGCTGAATTATTTTAACCTGCACCCCTTTCCTTATTGCTGACATTAAATACATTTTCGACGCGCAAGAAGGGTGGCTCGACTCAGCGCAAATATTTGTTTTCCGAAGCCATGCGAACAGGTTCGCCCTCCTTCATCTTTGCGTTCCTGCAAACATCGAAGCTATCTAAGCGAAACTATCTTCCGCCTTATTGCCAAACTGACATCTTTAACCCAGTTTTTTTTTCGCCCGAGAGTCAGTTAAATATTATGGCAACGATTATTTCATAAAGTTACTCCGTAAGATTTTATTGCGAAAAACAATCAGAGTATCTCGTACCTTTAGTGTAACAATACATGCACGCTCGTAATGATTTTTTAACAGATAGATCGGATAATTGGTAAAGCCTTAAAATCACATTGACGCTTAGGGATATTTTAATCGCGAAGATCACGTATCGTTCAACCACGAACAATCTAATTGGCCGAAAATTCTCAGACATAACAGCCTTTTAAGGCCTTTTTCCTAACCACAGCACGATACTCGCGGTAACGAAATTCGAGAGGCAACGACTCGTATTAACTCGCTAATTATCTCTGCCTACAGTCCATCCTGTCGCTCTCTTTCCCTCACTGACTCCACTTCATCCGCCTTTCTGCTTCCGACCTCTCTTTGACTCGTGTCACCTCTGCTTCCGCTTTCCACAGGGCAAAGGGATGGCCTACCTACTAAATTTCTCCCCCTGGCTCGGCCTCACTTACCACTTAATTACCAAACTTCTATCGCTAATCCGATATACCTTCTCGCAGCACGTTCTCCCTCATCGTTTTCTCGCCACCCTTCCTCCCCTCGGTTGACTTTCGTCCATTTATGATAACATAATCTACATTTACTGATACTTTCAGCAGATCGGTCATTTCATTTTACATAAAGGAAAAACTTAAAAGTGTAAAATCAATATGAATATAATTCAGTGTACTTTTAATTCTCCTCTCAGTATTAATGATTCCATAATTAATGTTGGCATATGTAATCGTTCAGTCTCTCGACTATCTTCTACTGGCCAAATAACGCGCGCGCCGTTTAATGTTATAATACGCGAAGAGCTTCGAGTTTCGTTCAAAATTGTTATTTGTCACGTAGCTTTTGCCAGCGCTTAAAATATACTTATACAATTGCTTACTAAAATATGCTTGCATAATTTTATTTCTCTCGCCAAGTATTTCCACGAATGGCTATCAAGAGCCAGTTCCAACCCCCCCGAGAAGGAGAGTTGCTCGCAGCTGCGCCCGCGACCCCACTGTTTCCATTAAACTTCACGCTTCCGGAACTCCATTAAACTGAAAATCAGACCGCCTAATGTAATGCCCATTTCGTACAACAACGCGCCCATTATCGCCCCAAAGTGTCCGGTGTCAAGTGTTCGCGAAATCGAGGACGTTTGTTTACGCCACTTGGCTTCTTGAAAGCTTCGAATAATGGAGGCATGATCGGGTATAGAAATGAAAATTAGCGAGCAGTTTGCATGAAATCGCACATTATTGCGAAATATGTGTGAGCACCAGCTGAATAATAAATTCAGCAACGCTTTTGTTACTTATAATCCATTTACATGTAGATTAAAGGCCACCCAATTATTACATGTTAATGATCTGTGCAATACAGTTTGGAATAGTTGAAATAACAATTCAATTAATAATTCAAGGAACTTGGAGCAGGCTCGTTGTAAATTCCTTGAAATGGCAAACAAACTTAGTGTACTAAAATTTATTATTTTATGGAAGCGCGTACCCAAAATTAAGCTTGCGGCAAAAGATGCGCCGTACCGTGCCGTCGGCGAAAAGACTAAAATATTTAGTTCTTAAATAGAAAGAAGAAAGTTACTAAAGGCGAGAAAGGAAAATTTAATTAAAAAATAACAATATAACAGATTTAATCTGGAATTTTCTCGGGATATTTTCTTGGGATGGCATATTTGTATGCTAACCCAATTATACCGAGCAAAATAAAACCATGATTTAAAATTAATTTCGTAAAAGCTCGCAGTAAATACTACTCTCAAGTGGCAAAATATACGCCGGTATCTCTCGGGCATATGCAATTAAAGATTCAATCTATATATCGGGCCAGTCGTGTCGAACCTCTTAGCATTTTCATTACGGAATTTTCTCGAAAAAGGTTTCGATGGAAATAACGTAAAAAAAATGTATTATCGTATAGTTACATTAATTATATAAGAAAATAGAGCATTCAAATATCGTTTCGCAGATGCATCTTTCCCGTAAGAAAATGATTTATTAAATTAAAAAAAAAATCTCTCCTTTGATATAATTTGAAAATACTTTTAAATTTTTAAATTAGAATTACACGCCAATGGTAGGAAGCCTCGAATGATGCCATTGATTAAGATAAATTTTCTTAATAAATAAAGGCAATGGTAGATGGCGCAAAAACAATAATATTAAGAATATTAAATTAGCCGATTATGCTCTTCAATAGATTATTGGCTCGAAAGATGTTCGTTGGGATATTTTCTTAAACACGAGACGCGCGATGGAAGTCAACATTTGCAGGTAGCTAATATTTATTCCGGTCGATCAGCAATTGTTAATGTTGACCTCGCGCGAACGCAATTTTACGCGAACGGCTAATACGCGCGCGATGTGTTAATTATCCTCGAGTATGGTTGTCCACGCGGGGATAATTAGTGTCTCTTGAGGCTAGTGTGCGCGGACGTGCTGGAGTATGAGTCACCGACCACGGATATGGATAAATTGAGGTCCACGGCGGTGAGCCAAATCATCGTGAGGCGAATTAGCTAAATCGACCCGAAAATGGCGCAGCGCCCTAAATTAATTTAAATGTCAGAAATTGAATTAGGGGGATACACCCTTTCGCACGTGTCGAAAGCATCATGTCGATTACCGTCAGGCTCATATTTCTCGCCAAGATTGATGACACGGAAAAACATAAATCGCGCGATAACGTTACACATTGTTATCGTAACGTCACACACGGCAATATGATATTATTACAGTTCGGTGAAATGCATATTACCGAGAAAAGACAAACAAAGCGGTTATTATTAACTCGAATATTTTTGAAAACGCTTATTCAATTCACGCGAATTCAATTCAGCTATTAGCGAACGCTCACTTCGTACAACGTGCGCTAATTCGCCCGCACAAAAATCCCATTCAAATCGCGGGATATATCCAAATCTTCCCTAAGGAGTAACCCGCGATCACGCTCTGGGGGCTGGTAACGCATGAATTACTATAGTCGAGTGCTGCAGATAAAGGGCCACGTTCGCGCCGGCGTGCGGAATCGGCGTGGAGCGGATTAGGCAGATTAAACAGATTAAGCCGAAGCAGTAGGGACCATTTGCCTGCCTCCTGCACACGGGGGGATCGTTCAAACCCCGCCGCCGTATCAACGTCAACGCCCCAAACTTCGCGATAAGGAGCCACTTCGGCAAAGACGAAGTGGCATGTAGTGGCTGTCTACGTGCGTGTGAGTGTATACGACGAAATCCCGATCCTCGCGATTGTACGTCATTGCGATCGACTTCTTAATGTCGGATGACTCACGAATTAACGATAAGCTCTTACCCTGATAGAAGAATATGTAGCATTTGAAACTATATAATTGCACAGTAAAATAATTCTAGTCAGGGAATATCATTTTTACAGCAATTATTACTATAATATTAGTAATAGCAACCATATAGACACAGTGATGCCAACTATTTAAACAATTTACTATAAAATATAAGCTTCTATTATTCTGTTAAAATGTCCAAGCAATGAATAGTAAATTGGTTAATTATTTTTATACAGTAAATGCAATCACAATAATAGTAAATTTAACTACATTTCTATCATCCACCTTGCTAATCACATGGTAAACAAAAGTGAAGTGATTCGGAATGTCCTCATTAGAGGGACGCGCGGTATAAGACTTTCTCGTAAGAAGAAAAGCGCATAGGGTGTTAATTACGAATAAGTTTACACATTCGTACAAGATTACTTATCTTTTCTTTGAAAGATACTTTCTTGTACTATTCTTTATGAGTGCAAAGTGATGTAACCAGTGAACATAGTGAACGCTGTATCGATGACAACGAAATTAAAATCTCGTTTTGGTTTATGACAACCATATCATAAGTTGCGTGGACCAACATTGTGTCTATGAGAACCGTAATACATTGTTAGGTCAACCATAACTTAAGTACGCAGTTTGTGGAAGAATTATAAAAATGTGGT